CATCTGATGGATGATGAAGAAGGTCCATTTTCTTTTGTTATCTAATCTAATAAATTTATCCCATTGAGACTGTGGACTATAGCTTGCCTTTGTGTCGAGTTGGCTTTGTATGAGACACGCTTATGTAAGATTCGGTTTGACTTGACCTAATAATGAGTATTTAAAAACAAGATATAAATATAAAAACAAAATTTGAAGGAAAACAAGTAACAAGGAATCTAAGTACATAAACAAATGGAAGCATATATACTCATACTTGGATTCCAAAACAGATTAAATATTAATGTTTTGATTGGGATGTTAAAAAGGCTAACAAGTCAAGCTTAGCAAATGAAAAATTGTGATCACTCTTATGATAAGTTTGTCACAATTTTAAGAGAGTTCGACATTGTGGTGCATCGATGAATTCAACATTGGCGGACCTACTCAAGGCCAATTGTGGACATCTGCCCGCATCTCATTGAATTTGTTAAGCTTTGGATGCTAAATTTATACATCAAATTAAGTTCAGAGTACTACTTATTAACAACTTCAACCCTCATAGAGTTCTACTTAACACCACTAAATAACAATAATTAGTTTATGCAATTAAATTACAACCACGGTTTCACTAGACAAAATATTGAGTACGTGACGGTCGATTAACTCGTTTTATTCTCTAAATTTAAGATGTTTTTTTTGTTTTTTTTTATAAATTTTAATATGTTGGTCATTTCTCTTGAGTTGTATCAAGTCCCACTTGAATTTATGTTCTGGTAATATACAACTTAAATACCATCCCATCCGAACATCGTTTCTCTGTGGGCAAAGTGTGATACAATTTATATATATAGGCCTTGCCACTTTTGTCAATTCATGGAAGGAGTGGGTATGGGGTTAGAATTTGTTGGCACTTGGCAGCCAATAATCTTTTGCCACCAATTCACAATTTGACACATCCATCACCATCTTCTTTATCTCGTTTTGTCATGCACCTTTGGAGGGTGTCGTAATTTACATATTAAAAATTCAATAAATAAACCATCTGTAACAAAAAGGACAAAAGGGAGATCCATGGTAAAGTAGATGGGTGTGGTTGCAGAGGATAAAAACTCAGTAAAAGCAAAATTATGTAAAGCATAATTGAACGGAAGGAGATTAGAAGGGTAATAAATAAAGGTGAGTGTGAATGGCGAGGCTTTCACACGAGGAGGATGAGGAGAGGAGGAGTCATTTCCACGATACGCATTCGTCAAACCCCGTGAAGGGCCCCACAATGTCCCCCTTGCACGCGTGCTTCATCCGACGGTCATCATTGCATCCGCAATAGACGGAAAGCATTTCCAAGGCCCCCAATCCGACGGCTCCCACGCTCCGTGTTTGACTCCTCACTGTCTCAGTCCCTGAACGCATCCCAACGAAACCCCAAAATTAAATACCACCACTCCCAAACACGCCCTCCCCATCTCTCTCATCTCTCTCTCTCTCTCTCACTAGAAGCGAGCAGTAGTGGTAGATCTTGTTTAGCAGCGCAAATCTAGGGAATTTTTATCTCAGAAAAACGTACTGAAATACGAAATCTGAAATCTGATCCTCTGTAATCGTTAACCTGGATTTGTTCTGCTATTTTCTCCTTCAACCTAGGTTTTGCTCTTAAATTTGTCATCTTTTCGTTTTGGGTTTTGTATTTTTTTTGTTGGTTTAGGTCAGGGGGGCTTGAAGTTTGATTTATTTGCCGTTCTGAGGTGTTTCTTGTTGCTTTATTGGACGATTATATATAAAATGAAGGGTTTTGTCTGTTTTGGTCACATGAATTAGGGTTTTGAATTGGAACTTTTGTTGTAGTCATTATTAATATTGTGGATTCGGTGTGTTCTGAGTTGTGAGGTATGGGATGATTTTAATTTTGATTTAATCAGGCTCAGTTTAGTGATGAGCTTTGCTTTGGTAGACCCGCAAAATGAAATAATGTTCATTGCTAATTTTGATTTGTTTTCTTCGTACTTTCCTCATTAGCCAAACTGGGTTTCTTTGTGTGAGTGCTTATTCTGCTAAAAGTGACTTCTTTCAAAGACATCAATGTTGGATAAGATTCATTCGATTAACTTTGGAAATATTTTCCTTTTATTTTTTGCAGTGGAATTTTGGGACCATTTACTCTGACTTGGTATTGAAGAAGTAAAATCAAGATGCCGTGGACGTCTTCTTTTGTGAATTACAGCAGGAACTGTGTTCGATTAGTGGTGTTCTTCCGCGTCATACTGTAGTTTCATTCATTTTGGTGAGATTATACTCTCGCTATATTGCTGTTTTTTGTTCTTCATTTCCTTCACTTGTTAGCTTGGCCTAAGTTTAAGAAATTGGTGTAAAAATTGAAACTTTATGGCCCAATTAACTCCAGCATTTCCCTTTTCCTCTATGTGCGTGCTTCCAAGACTTTTAAAGGAAAAATATAACTGCTTGGTTTTCTTAGGTGTTTCTTTTAATTGTTTGGTTATCATAGAACAAAAACAGATTAACTGAAGTAGTTTCCTTCAGATAAATAATGTCATAAATTTTGGGACAAAATGATGTTTCTATACTTCTTATTAAATGTAGCATTTGTTATATAGTTCTGTTTCTCGTTGCTCTTTCAGTCTCCATTCTAACAATTTTGTTTTGAGGGTTTACTGCTGCAGGTGAAACTCTTTGGTTTTTGAAGTTCTTTTATTTGGGGATTTTAAAAGGTGGTTGCAGGAGTGAGAATGAACATTGGGGTAACCTTTAAGAGATATCGAGCTATTAAGGAAGTTGGGAAGATTATAATGAGTGTTGGGGTCATTGCCTACTACCAACTGATGCAAGTTTGTCAGGTACATCTGATCTTCTCGTTTCCATTCAGCCATGCTATGCTATTGTTTATCTTCTTTCAGCTTCAGTTGATTTCAATAAAATGTGCTTTAGCATGCTTGATTGTACCACTCTGAAGATATTAAAAACTAGTTTGTTGATATTCTTATATTTGCTCTTACAGGCTGAATACTTCCGTCAGTTGCTTAAACCTGTTACGTAGTATAGTTTCACAAACCCTCTGGACTCTGGGATTTGGGATAAACTGGACCTCCGGCTGTATTCATACATAAGAAGGCAGTTGTATTGATTCTGGTTGCTTTTGATTGAGAATAGGCAGCTCTCCTGTACCAGAATGGCGATAACTTGATTTTCATAACAGTCCTTGTAGTATTTTGCAAACGTTCATCCAGTCAAAAGTCAAAGAATCTTAGACTTTAGGTGAATCTCCGTCTATTCAGCTTTAACTACTTAGGATTTCTGATGCAGAGGGACCAACAGTTTGACCCCAACAAGGCAGCTCCCCCCTTTGCAAATCAAGTGGGTAATAATTACATGCATATTCCAGTTGCATCTGCGCGTGGGGCAGTTTTACCTCATGAGGCAAAGCACATCAAACCTTTCCATGGTGTTGAATTTCAAACCTCTGACATTTGCCCGAAGAATTTCATTATCTTCGACCAGACTGACCATCGAAGTCAGATAATGTTCAATCCTGCAATTGCCCACAAAATTACTGGTCCTGCCTTTAACATCTGTGCAGCTTACGTCCAAGACAATCTGGGATTGAATGAGGGAAATAATGAGGATAGAGAAACATCCTCTTCTCTGAAGGAGGACTCAGATGATATTGATGCATTGTTGAGCTTGGAAGAGGAAGAGCTGGAAGAATATGACGAGGAAGAGGTCAGTACAGCACGAACTCATGGAAATTATGGGAGCATGTCCCCTGATTCTTGCTCCAATTATGGTTTGAAAACCAAGAAGAATAGGCAATGCTCTTCACTTGGAAAATCTTCTGGCATTGGTAGCAGCAGCTGCAACAGTGAAAGGAAGCGACAGAAAATGAAGAAGATGGTGAGGGTGCTGAGAGGGATTGTACCCGGTGGGAATGAAATGAACACTGTCGATGTTCTAGATGAAGCTGTGCAATACTTGAAGTCTCTCAAGGTTGAGCTGCAACACCTTGGAGTTGAGAATTTGAATGACTAAGCTTGATCTTGAGCTATGGTGCCAATAGTTATCCCTGATATTTGGTACTCATATTGGACCACTAAATATAATGGATGTGGTGTCTCTCTGAATATGATTATGGAGCTTTCTGGTGTGGCTCCTTAAGTTGTATTCTAATCTCCTCTTTGATTTGTAGTATGACTACTCAGTTTCTTGTTTTCAGTTAATTTTGTATGGCAAGTTGCAGCTGTCGACTTCTATACAACTATGTGACTTTTTTCTCCAGCCTCGGGTTGGTTAATAAATCAATTTCCTTATGTTAGCTATATTTGATGTTTTCATTCTTGCTTATATATCTCACATTCATCTGTTTGAAATCCAGAGACACGAGCATGCATCATAGTGCATTATTGTATCTCCTCCCGTTCGAGCCAATAGGCTGTCATGTTTGTGGAACACTTGTATTTGGTGCTAGCTTCAGTTATCTCTCTTTTCTTTAAAGGGTTAGATGGCCACTGCTTGCCTTTTGTGACCATGACTTGCCCAAATCTGTGTCACTATCTTCGGCTATTTTAATGTAAAAATACCCAAATGTATGCTTTTCATTATCTTTTAGATGCTGGAATTGTAGGGACATGGATGGATGGCGCTATTGCGTCCTCCCCATTCGTATATTGAAAGCCCCAATAGGCTGTGGCTATAGTGGCGCACCATTGAAGACTTTTTTCCACTAAACTAAAACCCATTTTCTTGCTTGCTCATGTTTTGTGTCTTTTGTCCCCACTCTGAAATCAATTTGGTCAAGTTGAGGACGATGGCAGTGCTCATGTTTTCTGGTCATTTTTCGGTTTGCTTTTGCCCATCCATCTTTTTACTTTATCTCCTTTTGAAAATTTGAAATTTTTGAAAAGAACCCTTTACCTAATTTTGAGTTCATGTTTACTTGGACCTTGCATTTGAATACAACTTATTCTCAATTTGAGTTGGATTTTGATGTGTAATAATCATCAGAACAAAAATGAGAAGAAAGAGTTCTTTATTATTGATTGATCATGTGGGCCTACTGTATACAAATTGAGAATAGAAGAGAAAGATTAACAACAAATTAACTACCACTTCAGTCTACTTGGTCTCAAGGTTGATTTGAAGAGGGATTGAGAGCCCATGATCATCTCCAACCATGATGGTGTGCATGCCTGATGGTAAAAGCTTGTAAGCAGTGTAATCAACAATTCCCAAGGCCTTGGGAACACTAAACACAAAATAAACCTCCTTGCTTTGTCCAGCTTTCACAAACACCCTCTCAAATCCAATCATCTGCTTACCATGTGTGCCTACAATACCATCTGGGGGCTTTGAGTAAACAAACACCACCTCACTTCCATCCCTTTTACCCACATTTTTCACTTCAACCTTAACCGAAAAATCATGTTCGTAATACAAGTCATCTACAAGGACTGCAGGGCAAGGTGGCTTGGATGCTTCATCCTCATACTTAATGTTACGGCAATGTTGCGTGTTATTCAACAAAATATCCATTGATCTATCTGCAGCTTTTAGAGTGTAGTTGAACTGTGTGTAGCTAAGGCCATAGCCAAATTGGTAGACTGTGGAGCCATTGAAGAATTTGTAGGTACGACCGGGATAGCCTAGACTATCGATCGGCCTCAACGGCATGGATGTCATGGGTAGCATGTCCACATAATTAGCTTCATACCATGTAAGAGGTAATCTTCCTCCTGTAAAATAGTAAACATATATATGAGATGTTAGACAACGTTAGCTGACATGACAAAATTATCAAATGTTTGTTAAGATATTAACAGTCATGTCAAGTGGTCTAAATTTGTGCTCCTGTTACCATATTTCGTGTACTTACCAGGATTGTGATGTCCGAAAACAATATCTGCAATGGCGCGGCCACCTTCCTCTCCAGGGTACCCAGCCCACAAGATGGCTTTGATTTTATCATTTTGTTTGGCAAAACTGATATCGACGCAACCGGCAGACATTACCACAAGGATGACTGGACCCCTTGAGACTTGAGCAACTTGGTTGATAAGTTGAGTTTGGTAACCAGGAAGAAGGAGGTCCACTCTGTCCAAGCCCTCTGCCTCAACTGATAAGTCCAATCCCACCACAAGTATTGTTGCATCAGCTTTCTTTGCGGCTCTCATGGCAGGGAATATCAAGCTCTCATTTTGACATGCTACATCACATCCCACTTCATACATCACTTCTCCGTAGGATTTGAAAGCATCAACAGGTGATGTGTATTGGCAAGGAACACCTACAAATAAATTGGAAGTGTGTAATGTTTATTTAGTACACATTATTGTTCAAATGTAGTACCTACATAATGTAAAGAGTAATGCTACATGTAGCACAATTATATCGTCAATACCTGCATAATTTCCAATCATAACTTCGGTAGCATTGGCATGAGGCCCGACGACGGCTAGTGTTTTGATTTTAGCAGAGTTCAAAGGCAAAGTTTCATTGACATTCTTCAATAAGACCAGTCCTTCTCTAGCTGCTTCTGTTGCCAATTCAATATGTTCTTTGGTGCATATGTCCTTCTTGCCAAGAGATTTAAAAGTAGGGCTTCCATCAAAGTACCCTAACCTCATAAGCACAACATAAAGGTAGTTGAGTGCCCTATCTATGTCTCCCACATTCACCTTTCCTTGTTCCACGGCAGTTTGGGTGAAATTGGGGTAGTAGACTCCACAGTCCAAATCCAATCCTATATTAATTAACATGGAACTTAATTAATTGAGTTATATTTATAACTGAAAACTCAAACAATTGAAGAATTAACTTGACAAGCCATGGACTAGCCTGCTTTAAATGCTTGTGCAATAGCATCCTCTTTAGTGTCATCAAGAAATTTGTGGTCATCCACCATTACGTCGATAGAATCACAATCCGAGACTATATATCTGCAAGACGTAAAAAACAAAAGGAACCAGTTAAATCCATGTACAGGAAGAGAAATCTAGCTAGGGTTAATTAATTAAGTTACCCATGAAGCCCCCAGTCTCCTCTAATGGTGTCTCTCAAAAGCTTTGGATCAGCACAGGTGGGTATGCCATTGACTCTGTTATAAGAGCACATTACACTGCTAACATCACCCTCTTTAACACACATCTCAAAGGGTCTAAGGAAAGTTTCCACCATATCTTGCTCTGTCACCTTTTCGGCCGAAAAGAACAACAACAAAAAAAACATTAAAGAAGCTTAAATCATCAAATTAGCTCTTGAAGAAATTAATCAAAACTCACCCTTGCGTCGAAATGGAGACGATCAACCCCAAGCCAGTTGTCAACATCATAGGCTGCATAATGCTTGCAGCATGAGGAAACTTTGAGAGGCCTAAGGTTTAAATCTGTGACGTTCTCTGTGCCCTCAACATCCTGCAAGCCTCTGACGTAATTAGTAGCATAAGCGCCGACAACATAAGGATCTTCCCCAGGTGTCTCTATGATTCTTCCCCACCTCGGATCCCTCACTACGTTAATGTTAGGACTCCAAAATGTTAACCCAGCTCTTCCTAGATTGTACATAGCTCTTGCTTCTGTTGAAACAGCCTGAAATGGACAAACAAATAAACAAACAATCAATGTGTGCGGTTTCTTTTTGTTTGCTTGTTAATTGTCGTAGCTTTGCTGATACTTGATGTTACCTTCTTCTCCATCTTAACCAATAATAAGACAAAAAGTATTATCTTCTCCAACCAACATAAAAGAAAAACGTAGGCAAATCTTTTTTTTTCCTTCTTCAAAGATAATGCAGTACGAGCATACATGCAGCTATACCTGACCAATGGTTTTCCACAAGGACTGATTAAACGACGCAGCTGTAAGAATAACAGGAGGAAAGCTCGTTGCACCCGGAACCACGTCATCAAAATAAGCCCCCGGACCAACATTGGACACACCATGGAGTGCTTCAGACCACCACTCATACTTAGGCAATCCTAGCCTAGGCACCCCGTATGAACCATCACCAAGCTGCTTCACTTTCTCCATCAATGTCATCCGGTCCACCAAGTCCTTAGCTCTAACGTCATACGGCAATTCAGAGTCACAGAAGGCAAAGGATGACAAGTCCAGGCCAAGGCTAGAATACCATGAAGGATCACATACATAGGTGAAGTTGCTACCACCATCAATGGAGGAGGCTGCAATGTTTTTTGAGTCTAGAAGGACTCTTCTAGCAGGAGAAACAATGGCAAAGAAAGCAAGGTAGAAGAAGAAAACTAGAAAAGTAACAATATTGCTAGACATGCTTGCTCCAGTCCTCTAGCTAGGTGAAGGTGATGATACATCACTGTGGGAATTACCAACCAACCTATATATATATTATCTACGTGGGTCCATAAATTTCTGACAATTTCCTATCTACGTGGTCAATTCTGTTTTCCATGTCAACGCTAATCTCGTCCAGTATTTTAGTCGAACTATAGCACAAACTCAACGGAGAGTGAGTAGTTGGTAAATTCCCTCGACTCCCTTGATTGAAGAATTGACTTCGTCCAGATTTTATCCATACAATTTACAAACACATATGACATGATGGCCCATTAGAAAGTTCAATATGGGCTGATTCTAAAGCCCATAACGAAAGCTGAAAAACGCACTGAAATTCAAGACACGACACTCTCACTCACTCTCTCTCTCTCTCTCTCTCTCTCT